GAGAGTATGCGAAACAACTCTGCAGACCTCAAGGTCAGTGCAGAAGGAGGGGCAGGAGGTGCTCCAAGCACCCGAGCAGAGGTTCCCCTGCAGCCCGTGGAGCAGACCATGGCAAGGCAGGCTGTGCCCCTGCAGCCCACGGAGGTCCATGGTGGAGCAGAGACCCACCTGCAGCCTGGGGAGGACCCCACGCCGGAGCAGGGGGCTGTGCCCAAAGGAGGCTGTGACCCATGGAGAGCCCATGTGGGAGCAGGCTCCTGGCAGGACCTGTGGACCCATGGAGAGAGGAGCCCACGCTAGAGCAGGTTTGCTGGCAGGACTTGTGACTCCGTGGAAGGGACCCATGTTGGAGCAGTTCGTGAAGAGCTGTACCTGTGGAAATAACCCATGTTGGAGCAGTTTGTGGAGGGAATATTTCCCATGGGAGGGACCTCATGCTGGAGCAGGGGCAGAGTGTGAGGAGGAGGGAGCGGCAGAGACAACGTGTGATGAACTGATCATAACCCCCATTCCCTGTCCTCCTGCGCCACTCGGCGGGAGGATGTAGAGAAATACAGAGTGAAGTCAATCCCAGGAAGAAGGGAGGGGTGGGGGGAAGGTGTTTTTAAGATTTGATTTTATTTCTCGTTACCCTACTCCAATTTGATTGGTGATAAATTAAAATAATTTCCCCAAGTTCAGTCTGTTTTGCCCGTGATGGTAATTGGTGAGTGATCTCTCCCTATCCTTATCTCGATCCACAAGCCTTTTGTTATGTTTTTCTCTCCCCTGTCCAGCTGAGGGAGTGATAGAACAGCTTTGATGGGTACCTGGCATCGAGCCAGGGTCAACCCAACCACAATGGCACAACGTATTGCTCTTAATTGCAAATCCATCTATAGCGTGTGCATCTGCCTGTGTGTATAAAGATATATATATATATATAGCATACAGTGCATACATACTCACACAATTTTTTGACCTTTTTTTCCCACTTAGGAAGCAGCATACCAACTACTACCTCTACCTTCACCAGTAAATTGAAGCGTGCTTAAAAATCTCATGCTTCCAAATTTCAGGTACTTAGTGTTCTTTGCTCCACATGAAAACCCATTTAAGATCTTTATTGAAACGCTTTGAACTTTGGGACTCAGTCACTTCATGCAGTGTTGTAGAAAACAAAGCAATTACAGGCCACCTGAATGATATTGAGTTCTGTCTCCTCTGGTTTCCGAAAGACAGAACAGTTTGTGCCATAACTGATGGGTACATTAACTACTCAGTAGGCAATGACATTTTTCACATGTGGTCTAGACAGCTTAATGTATCTAAAATGCTAACGCTTGGAGCTCTGCATTCTTCTCATCTTCTTCATAAAATTCCTAGGGAACATCATCTACTCCACCATCAGTGATAAACTTGTAAACACTGAGACAGGAAAGTCCTCCCTTTCTGCTGATTTGTCACATTTGCCCAAGTGGAAAAAACGAAGCCTCTCACAGCTCCCAATTTGCTTCCTTTTCATTACCAAACAGCAGGGTATTTTGAAACGGGTCTTTTAAAATATACATTTGATACAGTTTCAAAAAGACCAAAGGTTGTTTCCAAACACAGTAAGCATTTCTCACCACCCCATCACTTCACCAGTTAAACCAGCAGCTGCATTGCAGTCATAGGCCTAAGCACATGCATATAAAGAAAATGAAAGCAAATAAGACACATCACTAAATCACAGAATCTTTCCAAGCAATGCTCTCTTCCACCTGACGACCTGGATGATGATGCAAAAAAAGTCATTCCCTGCCTGTGCCTGTAGTGGCTGGGGCTAGCATGGAGAATGTGGTATGGTTGAGTCTATGCAGAAAGCACCAATACCTCATAGAATCATAGAGCAGTTTGGGTTGGAAGGAACATTACAGATCATCAAGTTCCAGCCCCCCTGCCATGGGCAGGGACACCTTCCACTAGCACAGGTTGCTCAACACCCAA